ATTTTCACTCATCCATTTGTTTGATGCATAGATACAAATGAAATTAAGAAATTTTCTAATTTCCTCAATATTTATTTTTCTACTCTTTATTTGATATCAGTTCTTTTTGCACCAAAGTACCCTGCGCAAGTACTAAGGAGATCTGCCTTCTTTCTTTGTCATTTTAATCATTCAATATTTCAAGCCCCGTGGAGTTGGGACCAGGTATGATATATCTTTTCATATAAAAGAATTTAGAGATTAATATTTTTCTTTTGATATTCGAGTTTAATATATTTTGCTTCTCAGAATCTCATAAAATGAAATTTATGAAGGAAGAAATGTTAGCATAAATTAAGTGTAACTGCTTTCCGTGGAAAAAGCCGCATTGTATAAGTCATTGCCTATCCTTTTTTTTAATATCGCTAAATTTAATTTGAATTGTATTTTAATGGGTTAAATGGTAATAGATTAATAGGCTCTTGTTAAAGTGAAATGTATTTAACTGCTCTTTTTTCTGTTAGAGGATTAATACGTACTTCTTCTTTTTTTCTTGTAAGTATACACCATCTTAAATGGACATTTTAATGATACTCCTTTTTATTTTCTTTTAGAAAATTTCTTCATGGAGTCCACCATAGGGTCAGTTCTTGGAAGGGTAGGGGAATATGTAGATTGTCATAAAAACTTCCACAATGATGTGGATGATCTTAAAAAAGGAATTGCAGATCTAAAACGCAGAAGAAATGATAAGTTAGCAGAGCTACTAACAGTCGATGACTCGGAAAGACAAGTTAAAGAAGAAGTGCAAGGATGGCTTGAAGATGCAAGGAGGGTCACTGAAATTGAAATGCCAGATATTGAAGAAGAGGTGCAGAATGTTTCATACTTGTCACGTGGTAGCCTTGGAAGACGTGTCCGTCAAAAGATTCAAGATGTGAGGGAAATTTATAATCGGGGTAGTTTCCCTGAAAGTCTTGTAATTGAAAGGCCTCCGCCTATTGGAATCACTTTGCCAACCGAGAATATGGTGGGCGAGGTTGATGTGAAGGAAAAAATTTGGGGATACTTGATGAGTCACGAGGTTGGAATTATTGGAGTTTGTGGAATTGGTGGAGTTGGCAAAACCACTGTTATGAAACACATCCATAATGAATTGCTAAATGAGGCTACTAAGTTTAAGAAAGTTGTTTGGGTTACAGTATCACATCCACTCATTGTTTTTAGATTACAAGGTGACATTGCTAGTGCAATGAACAAAAGTCTTCCCGATTATGGGGATGAACTGAAGCGGGCATCGAGATTGATGGAGGTTATGAAAACAGTAAAATATGCATTGATCTTAGATGATGTGTGGGATAAATTTACTCTTCATAGAGTTGGCATCCCAGAACCAACAACCGAAAATGGGTGCAAAATTGTTATTACTAGCAGATCGGTTGATGTATGCAACTACTTGAGATGTCAGATGGTTAAGGTGCCACTTCTTTCAGCACAAGAGTCTTTGAACTTGTTTTTAGATAAGGTTGGGCAAGACATTCTACGAATTCCTAATTTGGAAGAGATTTTGAAGCTTATGGTTGCTGAATGTGCTGGTTTGCCATTGGCCATTGTTGTCATTGCTGGGAGCATGAGAGGAGTAGAAGATATCTTTGAGTGGAGAAATGCATTACGTGAATTGCGTCAATGTGTAGTAAATACAGAGAAAGATTCAGAAGATGAGATATTTAATCGCTTGAAGTTCAGTCATGATCGTCTACGAAATTCAAGCATCCAGAATTGTTTCTTATATTGTTCATTATATCCAGAAGATTGGGTTATTAGAAAAGAAAATCTAATTGAAAACTGGATTTGTGAGGGACTTGTTGAAAAATTAGGGAGCAGAAGAGAAATGCATGATAAAGGACATGTTATTTTAAATAGGCTTTTAAACAATTGTCTGATAGAGGAAGCCAATAAAAGGGAAAATGTTAAGATGCATGATGTTGTAAGGGACATGGCATTGCGTGTTAAGAGCACCGGTCCAAGTAAGTTCATGGTGAAAGCTAAAATGAGATTGACAGAGATACCAGAGGAGGATGAATGGACTGAAGATCTAGACAAGGTTTCCCTAATGGAAAATGAAATATCATATATCCCTATAAATATGTTCCC